GACTGGCGGTGAAAACCGAGAGGTTCCCAGAGGCATGTGGAAGAGGAAGAAATGCTCTGTTCTCGCCCACCGTGTCTCGCACACAGAGGATGGCCGTGCATCTGCACGTGAGTGTAGCTGGAGGCCATTATCCTTAGCAAACTAATGCAGGAACAGAAAACCAAACACCAAATGTTCTCACTCATAAGTGGGAGCTAAATGATGAGAACACATGGACACATAGAGGGGAACCACACACACTGGGGACTATCAGAGGGTCTAGGGTGGGAGGAGGGAGAGGAGCAGGAAAAGTCACTAATGGCTACTAGGCTTGGTACCTGGGTGACAAAATAATCTTTACAACAAACCCCCAGGACACAAGTTTAACTATGTAACAAACCCACACATGGACTCCTGAACCTAAAATAAAAGTTAAAAAAAGTTTAAATAAAACAATGAAAGTGACCATTTCCTAACCATATTTTTCAACTCACTTACTGGTTTCATGAAAAGAAGATGGAGCTTTGGAGAAATGTCAAGAACCAAACAAAACATGGCAGAGAGCTCTTAATCTCTCGTAAAGTGAAGTTTTAAGTCCATTTGAACTTCAACTCGTTTATGACAAGAATGTCTTTATTCACATAATTTAAGGCTATTTGGTGTCACCCCATTCTTAGCCTGTCCTGACGTGGGGCCACCCAGGGTGACAGCTCACCGGTCACGTCCTGGGCCTCAATGGGGGACGTCATCTCCGACGGCTCGCTCAGGCCATGCTGGTTGGCTGACAGCACTCGGAACACGTACGACTTCCCCTCCATGAGGTCAAACACAGCATACCTCGGGGACCTCACAGCCGTCTGGGCGTTGACTCTCTGCCAGCTGCCGCTCCCCACCACGGACTACAAAGAGAAACGAGACTGGCGGTGAAAACCGAGAGGTTCCCAGAGGCGTGTGGAGGAGGAAGAAATGCTCTGTTCTCGCCCACCGTGTCTCGCACACAGAGGATGGCCGTGCATCTTCTCTGAGTTTTATGAAACATGATGCCAATTTGGAGAAGGAAGTCACAAATTACCCAAAGCTGATCATATTTACTAATAAATATTTTTCCATTACAGTAAATGATTAAACCATAGAAAACATAAGAGCATCAATACACAGGTGGTAGTTTTAGCAAAATAGAATTAACCTGCAAATAATAAAAGATAATTTAGAAGTATATTTGCAAAATTCCATCATAACTCAGTGGTTCACATTTCAACTTAAAATTATTACCATATTGCAGCTACTTGCGGTAGTGATAAAATGACAGCTATCAAAATGACTCTCCATGCAGTAAGACACACGATGATATGTTCATAGATTAAAAACCACATAGCCAGTTAAATTACTGTAGAAAGATATTTAGTCTAATAAGAGGAATTATGTTATTTTGTGAAATGTAACACAGAATGCAAATTGTATAACAAGTACATTAAAATCTATGGAGAAAAAGACTATAACTATATGTACCACACTTTAATATGGCTATTTTATATGATGGAATTATTGTTTATTTTAATTGCGTTCCATGTAACTTCTCTGTCTTTCCCAAATTTTATATACTGCTTATTTATTATCTTTCATAATTACTTTAAAAACCTTGATTACATTTTATTTTATTTTTTCACATAGAGATAAAACTCCTTTTTTGAAAGTAGTTTTGTGGTAGTAAAAGTTGGATATACATTGACCCTGGTAAGTCTGCTGAAAATTTCAGATAGCAACCCAGACTTCTAGAAATCAGACTCATATTTGAAGGGATTTTCTCTCATTTTGGTGGAAGTGAAAAGTCGCTATTTTGCATCTGCCCCAGGCGTTCACGGTGGGAGCCTCCAGGGCATCATGGGCCTGAGGCCCTCACAACCCCAAGCAACCGCAGTCCAGGTGTCTATAGGACAGCTTCCTCTCCTACCTCAGAATGTGGGTCCACAGAGGGAAGGCTTATCCACGGCTGGGGGAATGTCAGTTAGCTCAGTCACTGTGGAAAGCAGTGTAGAGACTTCTCAGAGAACCTAAAGCAGAACTACCATTCCATCCAGCAATCCCATTCCTGGGTATGTGCCCAAAGGAAAATAAATCATTCACCCAAAAGATGCATGTGCTTGTATGTTCATCGCAGCACTGTCCACAGCAGCAAAGATGTGGACTCAACCCCGGGGCCCATCAACGGTGGACTGCAGAGAGAAAACGTGGTGCCTCCACACCGTGGAATACTACGCAGCCACAAAGAGGAACGAAATCATGTCCTGTGCAGCCACATGGGTGCAGCTGGAGGCTGTTATCCTAAGTGAATTAACACAGGAACAGAAAACCAAATACTGCATGTTCTCACTTATAAGTGGGAGCTAAACACTGGGTACGCATGGACACAAAGATGGCAACGATAGACATCAAGACCTACCAGACAGGGCAAGGCCTGAAAAACCACCTACGGGGTACAATGCTCACTACCTGGGTGATGAGATCAATTGTACCTCGAAATCAGTATCACACAATATACCCTTGTCAGAACTTGCACAGGTACCCCCTGAAGCTAAAATAAAAGCTGAAATTACATTTTCTTAAAAATGTGTTTACTGCAAAGGCATCAGAATGACACAATGGGCCGGGCGTGGTAATCCCAGCACTTTGGGAGGCCGAGACGGGCGGATCACGAGGTCAGGAGATCGAGACCATCCTGGCTAACCCGGTGAAACCCCGTCTCTACTAAAAAATACAAAAAACTAGCCGGGCGAGGTGGCGGCGCCTGTAGTCCCAGCTACTCGGGAGGCTGAGGCAGGAGAATGGCGTAAACCCAGGAGGCAGAGCTTGCAGTGAGCTGAGATCCGGCCACTGCACTCCAGTCTGGGCGACAGAGCAAGACTCGGTCTCAAAAAAAAAAAAAGAATGACACAATGGACTTTGGGGACTGGGGAGAAGAGTGGGAGGGCGGGCGAGGGATAAAGGACAACAAATACGGTACAGTGTACAAAGTTCGGGTGACGGGGGCACCCACATCTCACAAATCACCACGGAAGAATCTACTCATGTAACCAAATACCTCTTGTACCCCAATAACTAATGGAAAAATAAAACAATAAAGATTACAAAAAACGTGTGTCTGCCATGTCATCAATACCGACCGCAGGTGGTTCTGCCCACACACTGGCTCAACAGTACAGTCCTCTTTCTAAAACTGTGTTTGCAGGACAGGTGTTGTGGCTCACCTGGCCTGTAAACACATGGAAGCGCCTGTAATCCCAGCACTTTGGGAGGCTGAGGCAGGAAGATTGCTTGTGCCAAGAATTTGAGACCAGTCTGGGCAACACGGTGAGACCTCCTCTCTACACAAAAAATTAAAAATCAGCTGGGTGTGGTGGCGCACACCTGTGGTCCCAGCTACTCTGGGGGTTGGGGGCTGGGGAAGAAGGACTGTTTGAGCCCAGGAAGTGGAGACTGCAGTTAGCCATGACTGTGCCACTGCACTCTAGCCCGAGTGACAAAATGAAACCTGGCCTCAAAAATAAAAATAAAAGTGTGTTTGCAAACTTGGTGTTTCTGGTATTGGTGGAGGATGAGGGGAATGAGGGGCCTGAGAAAATACCTTCCACCCCAGGAGAGCCCCACAGAGGGACTGACCACTCGTATTTTCGTAACACAAATAACGATATTTTGTCACCCAGAATTAATAATGTAATGTTTACCCTGAAATAATTCCAGTTTCTACCTCCTAGAGAGCACGCATTGCAAATAAGCAGAGAAGCCCAGAGGGCCCTCCTGCATTCTGGAGTCTGAAATGTGGTTCATTTCCATTCTGTTTCCGCCATGCTGCATTGAGTGGTGCTGGATGTGATTATTGTGTTAGGTGGCATAAGCTTATATATGTTATATTCTCTGTCACGTGCATACTGTCTATTGGATTACATATTATAATATAAATTTTGTATCACAAAACCATAGTTACAGCCTTTGTAGGACATTGGAGGCTTATCCAACTGTGGTCTACAACCCAATAGAGGGTCACCAAGTCAGATCAGTGGGTCACAACCTGTGTTTTTAATGTGACAGGACAGGCTAAAAAGAGAATGTGTGCTGGGTGAGGTTATCATCTGTGAAATTCTGTAGGTTACCTACATACACGTGTGTGTGATTGCAGAACTGCAATATACAATATATTTTGTATTTCTTTGCATGCATTCAGGGGGAAAAAAAAAGCCTTCTATTGGATAATCTGGCAATCCTAACGCTTCTCCGTCTTGTGTGAATTTCCTCTACACGATTGCCACCCAGTGGCCATACGGCTTGTGCACAAGCCCGGCCAGCGAGGAATCTGGAATCCCCAGACGCAGGTGCCTGGAATGCTGCAGCAGGAAGGAGATGGTGGAACCCTCTTCACAGGGCACTGGAGAACACGGGCACCCAGAGAGGGAAGCCACTCCCTGCTCACACCAAGGTGCAACGCCGGGCTAGGACGCAGCCCAGCCCCCTGGTGCCAATTTCTGCCGTGCTGTGGTGTGACCTCATGTTCCCCAGCAACGGTGCAGCGTCTGGACCCACTGATGGACCATCTTTAAAACACAGCAAACACGACAGTGTGGGGCCACGCTGAGATCACAACACTGGGGCCATGCAGAGATCATAACACTGGGGGCACGCAGACATCATGACACTGTGGGGCCACGCAGAGATCACGACAGTGGGGGGCCACGCAGAGATCACGACAGTGGGGGGCCACGCAGAGATCACGACAGTGGGGGGGCCACGCAGAGATCACGACAGTGGGGGGGCCACGCAGAGATCACGACAGTGGGGGGGCCACGCAGAGATCACGACACTGGGGGGCCACGCAGGGATCACGACAGTGGGGGGCCACGCAGAGATCTGCTTTTCCAGGACACAGACTGAGAGTTTACCTTCTCGATGAAGTACATGAGCGGGTCCTTGCCGCGGGGAGTGGGTGGCTCCCAGCTGAGGACGACATAGTTTCTGCTGATCTCGGAGGCGTGCACATTGGTGGGAGGCCCTGGAACCTGGACGTCACCTGGAGGAATAATAAACTTGGTGAGTGCTGGAGGACCCCCATCAGCCTCGCCGTGGCCCACCTCGGGGCATTGGAGGACGCTGCCACATGGGTATTGCACTTTGCCCACCTCGGGGCACTGGAGGATGCTACCACATGGGTATCGCACTTTGTCTTGTTTCTATTTGGGGGAAGCAAACAAACCCCAAAGATCTGCTTCTTCGGAACCAGAGGATAAGGTGCCATTAGATCATTTTTGCTTCCGATACAGATATAAGCCAGTTCATAAGAAAGGAATCTCATCCGAAAGTCTTTCAGAGATTCTGCGGGAAGAGGGGGAAGGATTTACCAGAAGAAACCAGGCATCGCATCCGAAATGGAGCCCTGACTGCACTGGGAATCTGTGCGGAGAACGTATTCGCAGTCTGTGTTCTGCAATACGAAGCACGGCGGAGCCAGCCGGCCCCACCGCTAAGGATCCCCTCCAGGTTCTTTCTTTATACCGTGTGCTCTCAGAGCACTTAAACTATGCATCCGCTTCTAAAGCACCTTGCCTGCTCCTCCCTCAGAAGCTCAGTACCATATTCACAGGCACTGTAGTCCATGTCTGTATGTTTGAATTCTGGAGTGATGTTAATAAGCCTTCTGCAAATGACTTATGCTAGAATATTTGCAGTCAGAGATGCTCCATATGCCTCTCTTCTGACATACATCTTTTTAAAATATACTATGCAGTGTGGGGATTTCTGTCTTAATTTATAGGAGATTCTCATAAGGAGTGGAGGTGGAGGTTTTTCCAGACCCACAGTTCTTGAAATTGTGATACAAAATGTTATGAACCTCCAATTAGATTAGCACATGATTAAAATGGTCTGAAACCTCCCCGGGACATCTCTGAGCCCTTCTCAAAATCCAGTTGCTCCCTCAGGACTCTGTGGCAGGCCAGGAATTGAACACAGAAATAGCACAAAGCAAGACTGGGTTTCGTTTCCTGAGCCCTATTGCACAGTGCACTGCGTGTCAGAGACAACACAGGCTGAGCTGGGGTCATTCTGGTAAGGTGCTGAATTTCACACAAGGAGTCAGCATGTCTCCGGAAAGTGCAGAGGGTAACCGGGGTGGGGGACACTCCACAGGCCTGCTCTCCACCCATGCAGCGTGTCCACACCTCGAGACCCACAGAAAAAAGCATTCCAGAGAGAAGACGCGGAAAACTCATCTTCCTGTAATACACGCCGAAATTCCAAAATGGAATCCTGGTTTATTTCAGAGGTGCTGACGAGGGAAGCAAACCAAGGGGACAGAAAGAACAAGGCAACGAACAGAAGCAGCGAGCAGGTGTGAGCCGCTGACTGCAGAATCTCGTTCACACTCTCAGAACGGTCTTGCCGCCTTTGCCCCTGCACGTAGCAAAAGACCAGAGAAAGCGGAGTGAGAGACAGTTCCTTTGATGACAAGGTGGGAAGAAAGAACACAGCTTTGTCAGCAGGGGATCCCCGGCTGGGGCAAGACACTTGAGTCATTCTTCACGTCGTCATCACCTCGGACAATGTGATCACAGGAGCCTTGCGGATTTGCAGATGCTCCCACCATGGAGAGAGGAGAAAAGGGTTCAAAAGGGTCCCACAAGCCAGGGAGAGGGAAGCACGGGGGTGGGCATGAGCAATGACCCTGCAGCTGAGAGGGGAGCCGAGGGAAAGCAAAGAAACGTTAAGCACACACGAGACACTGCTAGGTACATGTGAGATACCGCTAAGCACACGAGAGACACCACTAAGCACACGCAAGACACCACCAGGCACATGCAGGATGCTGCTAAGCACATGTGAGATGCCGCTAGTCACACGTGAGATGCCACTAAGCACACATGAGACACCACTAAGCACACGTGAGATGCCACTAGGCGTATGTGAGATGCCGCTAAGCACACACAAGACACTGCTAAGCACACGTGACACACTGCTAAGCACACACGAGATACCACTAAGCACACATGAGATGCCACTGGGCACATGGAAAATGCCGCTAAGCACAGGTTAGTTGCCACTAAGCACACACAAGACACCACTAAGCACACGTGAGACACTGATAAGCACACATGAGACACCACTAAGCACACATAAGACACTGCTAAGCACACCGGAGATGCCGCTAAGCACAGGCGAGACGCTGGCCAATGGTTCTACCCCCAGGGTACTGACACTGCCCTACCTCTGCTTCAGCCCTGAAGGCTCCCAAGCCCTGTTCCAATGGGCCAAGTCAATACTAAATGAAAACAGTAAGAGATAAACACACACATACTTCTCGTATTATTATGTTATATACATTATTAATATATAATAGATATTATTGTTGTAAAATGCTTTCACATCCAATATCTTATTTTGGGTTCTGTTCATGTATGGAGGAAGATACTACTGGTTTCCTCCACTTAAAAATCCAGAAATTGAACTCATAAAAACATAACATTTTCCTAAGATCGCACAGCTACTGGGCGGCTGACTTGGAGTCCAGACTTAGGTCTTCTGGTTCCAACTTCTGCATTTTGTTCCCTCATCCACCTAAGGAAACCACAACCTACCGAGGAGATTTTTCTCTAAGTAAATGAAACGCCGAGTTTATTTTAGATTTGACAGAATTCTAGGGTCCTGCAGAGCACAGAGCAAGTGACTGAGCACGTGGGCTGCAGACGACCCAGCCCAGGACAGCACAGCCAACGCTTGCATGCATAATTAGGAGAGAAAAACATGGTAAAACAGTAGAGTAAAAACGCTCTCATTAAATTCTGCGAGAGTCTATTCTGGCCTTTCCAAGAATACGGTGTTCATTTTTCAACGAAGCAATTCAAGAAATACTGGGCAAGTTGGGTTTGTGTTAAGGGAAGAGCATGGATAGCAGTTTAAATGTTTGAAGGAAGACATTGCCCAAGATTAAAACGATATGGAAAACTTAGCAAAAAGTCAAAAATAGCAGAGGAGCCATTTTTAGCCAACAACAGTACTGAGTTTCTGTTTCTTTAAAACAAGTGGCATTTACCAAGTGTTTTCTAGCTAAAGCAATGGTAAAAGAAAAAAAAAAATCAGCTGAAGAAAAAAGACACAGGTAGAAAAGGGAACTTCCTAATAGCCAATTCTTGAACCCCGAAATGGTTCGCTTAGAAACATTACAGATCTCTTTCTTCGGATAAAGATTTTTTAAGTTAGAGGAGTTACTCCTTGTTTAAAATGACTGAGGTGAACAGATGAACTTTCCAAACCCCCATATCAACGTAGCAGAATTTCAATTTCATACCCAGTTTGTTTCTGACCGTGGAAATTGCCTGTTCACTGTACACAGAGAACTGAAGCCCGGGAGACTGAGCCTCAGGCAGTGTCCACGTACCAAGTCAAGCAATTTTCCATCTGAGAGTCTCACCCTCAGCCTCCCATGACCCACCACATAAACACAGCCTTGGAAAAGTCCCCTGAGGATGAATAAATCCTGCCGCATTCACAACCGCCTCCAACAGAGGAGGGCACAGGCCCAACCAGCCAGAAACCTGCCTTGCTGAAAGCAAGGAAAACACGAGACCATGGAAAATAGCATCTGTGTCTTTACTCCAGCAAGAAATGAGAGCTACTGTTTCTGGACACCAAACTTGCATTTTATCAACTGGCAAACCAAGCCTCAGGACACCTGCTCTTTCTTCCTTTGACACATCATGAACAGCAGGTTACGTCTATCCCACCACAATCACGTCTCACTAGAAAGATAGACTGTCCATCCAAAAAGGCAGGGCTTCTGCCTGGGGAAGCTTCATTCCATTACATGATTTCCCTTCCCCAGTGCTCTTCACAATGGCCTTGACAGAAGGCAAATCTCATCACAGATATGTGATGTTTACAAAGCAAGTTACACCTTCTCACCGTGGCTCATTTTTGCCAGGCTGGAATCCTACACATCCACTCAGCATGGTCCGGGCTGCCTGTCTCCTCCCTGAATCTGTCTGCCTGTGAGGAGTGAGAAGGGGGACTACCTGTTCCTCCCGCAGGCCAGAATCAAACCTCATTCTATCACAGTCTGGGCCGCCTGTTCCTCCCGTAGGCCAGAACCAACCTCATTCTACACAGGCTAAGGCTGCCTATTCCTCCCACAAGCGCCAGGACCAGACCTCATTCCACACAGGCTGACTGCCCTGCCCCCAGCGCCAGAACCAGACTCTCATTCTACACCGGGCTAGACTGCCTGTTTCCTCCCACACAGCCCAGAACCTAGACCTCCCATTCTACACAGGCCCTAGGACTGCCCTAATTCCTCCACAGGCCAGAACCAGACCTCATTCCACACAACCTGGGCCTGGGCGGGGACTGTTCCTCCCGCAGAGCCAGAAACCAGACCTCATTCCCTACACAGCCTAGACTGCCTGTACTCCCCACAGGCCAGAACCAGACCTCATTCTTACACAGGCTAGACTGCCCATTGCCTTCCCACAGGCCAGACCAGACCTACATTCCACACAACCTGCGGGCTGACTGTTCTTCCCGCATGCCAGAACCAGTACCTCATTCTAACACCGCTAGACCTGGCCTGTCCTCCCACGAGGCCAGAATCCACAGACCTCATTCTACACAGGCTAGACTGCCTATTCCTCCCACAGGCCAGAACCAGACCTCATTCCACACAACCTGGGCTGACTGTTCCTCCCGTAGGCCAGAACCAAACCTCATTCTACACAGTCTGGGCTGCCTGTTCCTCCCGTAGGCCAGAACCAGACCTCATTCTACACAGGCTGGTCAGCCTCAAGCATGCCTTCTCTTCCAAAAGAATTTGGAGCCATTTGAAACATCATTCAAATATCCATGTTTTAATCATCTGAAAAATGGAGAGGGTTTACCATGCATGAGACAGAATACTAGGCTGAGTCAAAACACCAGATGCCCAGGAAGCTGCAAGAAGTTGCCCTCCCCAAAGCCCTCACTTTCATTCCTTACGTATTGAGTGTCCGTCCTGAGTTCTAGGTCCTTCTGGAGCCAGAGGGTTTGACTAAGGCTCAAAGGTTACCTTGACTTGACCAGAACTCTTAAGGTCTTCTTTTGGGAGTTTGTGTACCTCATGGGACACATTGGGACATACGTTTGTTTTGAGATCCTGGAGAAAAATCTTCGTGTGGCAGAAAATGCAATGTGTGGATACTAGGTGGGGACCTATCTGCTTCAGATGTAGAAAACCGATCCAGAAAACGTTTTTGAGACTGCAGCTCTGGGAGAGAGAACACGACTGTGATTTTAAAGAGCAGCTCAAAATCACCGCTGCTTAGCCAGTGGCTCCAAACTAATTCGAAATCTTTCTTTTTAAGTTTTCACCCATGGCACTCCACGAACTCTAGTTATAAGTCCAATTAAAATCTTTTGATTTATGGTTAATAATGTTGGATTCTCCTTAACACGTCATTCTTTCTAAAGCTCTTTAAAAGGAATATCAGGGAGAAGAAATATCCACAAAATCCAATATAAATAAGGACCAAGAACACCCTTTGGCAGGAAAGACTCAATCCATTTCAGTTAAAATGTCAGGAACAAAATGTTTGCTTAGAAAATGTAAAATGAAATCGATTTCACAACGCAATCCATGAGAACGGATCTTACGTCATCCAGGAACCAAGTCTTAGCTGTAGTTGGGTTTCTTCTCTACGAGTCCCCGAAAGAATGCCTTTTCTCCCACCCTCTCACTCTGTCTTGTTTTTTCCTTAGGGCTTGCAGGCCTGACCTGCAGTTTTCATTTTTCCATTCAGAGGCTGTGCCCAGTAGGGGGCGTTCTCTGTCCATCTCTCCCATCTCCAATTACAACTCCAAATCCCCAGGGGACGAGCAGCTGGAGTGGTGAGGAGCGACTTACCTTCAAGGTCATCCTGATAAATAACAATCTCCTTCTCTCCTTCCAAATGAACGGCTGCAGAGAGAAAGGTTGACACTTGATTTGACACGCGAAGGTTTCCCAAAAAGCCCCCGTCTTTCCTAATTCTGTGCCAGCTCTGCATCTCCTCTGCATTAGGACTACAGCCTGTGAGTCCTCTGGGGGCATCCGAGCTGATTCTGGAAGTGTCCTGGTAACAGCACTTCTCCGCTCTTGGTGGTGGATGCAAAGGACCATGTGGGTAAGGAAAATACAGTGGCTCGCCTAGAACCATAACGAAGGGCCCAGTCCCCTTGAGGAATCTGTGTCATGCAAAATTAAAACTCAGAAATAGGATGGCCTTCTAAGTGTCATTATGTGTTGAAATTATATCACCAATGGAATTTAAAAAAAAGGTCTAATTCTGAGCCAATTTGACTGGATTCCAGCAAAGAGCTTTCTGGAGGTGAGGCACAATCATTTTAGAGTGTACATGTCATCCTGTTCCCATTCCTGCAGTGATGTTGGCAGAGACTTTGGAGAACAGTGAAACAGCCTGTGCTACACTCTGCACACAGGGCGTTCTCTCGGCTCACAACGAGTTGGGAGGGAAAGAGAGAATAGATCACACACAAAACAGCCAAAGCTTCCTGGGCACAGTGGATACTGAGGCGTAAGCGGCTTACCTTGTAACCTTCTGAGGTCCAAGGGGTCAAGTGCGGCCACCGCATCAGAGACCCTGGAGGGGCGGCTGATGCCCGCACTGTTCACCGCCCTCACTCGGAATATGTAAGACCTTCCTTCAAAAAGCCCCGTGACCGGGTATTTGCAGATTTTCACTGGTGCATCATTGCACTGAACCCAGTTGTTCGTTCCTACTTCACATCTTCAAGTTAATAAAAGAAAAACAACAGAGAATAACAAATGTGGCAACCTACTAAATATATATAGGCATATACATATATGCACACACCGATTATAACAGGAAAATATCTCATGCCAGTAAAATCTGTGCTGCTAAAATATTGTCTTGTATAGGTAAACTTTAAAAGACAGAGCTATTTAGAAAATTCAATATATATATAATATGTATTATCTATTATATGTGTAATATATACCTATGAATCTTAATAATTTATAGTTGAAGATCAATTCCTGTCATCAAACACATTTAGGCAAAAATCTCCTCAAAAAGTTATTTTAGACGTATCCTGAACAGTTCTTTTTCCGAATTATGTGACATGGTCAAGGCACCCCTAAGCTGCGGCGTGACCTGTCTGAGGCCCAGGCTGGGGAAACAGGCTCAGGCCCGCTCTGCCTCCAGCTCCCGCCCTACTCTGTGGGACCAAGGGCCCGGGTCCCCGGGAAAGCTGGCTTCCAGTCTCCTGGAATAACATTAGGGCATTTCTTTCTAGAATGCTTCTCAAGTGGAATGTAGAAGTCTTTTGAAAATATTAATTCCTGACCAGAAACCTGGAAATGTAGGAAAGATTAACCTCCATTTTTCACAGGTTGAAAAATGTAAGAAAAAACTCTTCATGTTAAATCCCCAGGAGAAAAGAGCCAGTTCAGAAAATCAGTCTTGGGAGGGAGCTCTTCAACCCCAGAGTGGTGCCTTCATCTGGGAAAGAACCGGCTCTCCCGCTAAGGATCTAGCACTTTCAATGAAAGCTCTCTGATCCACAAGTCATGGGCTGTTTTAGCCAAAGAGAACAACAAGGTCAAAACCAAAAGTCTGGTGGGAAAACCTTCAACCTCAAGCAACAGCTGGCAAGTTGTAAGCCTGAAGGAAGGACAGAGGAGTAGCTGCACCCCCTACTTCCAAATGCACCCCCATTCCCAAAACATTCGGTTGCTTTAATGTTCACGTTTGCTCTTTTTGTAATGAGGGGAGGAGTGCGGATTGTTAACTGAGACAGTGCAGGAAATGGTTTGTGTCAACATGGCCAGAGAAGTTATCAGCTGTCCCAGGAGAAAAGAAGATCACTTTGAGGGTTTGTTTTTCTTGCTGTTGTTGCTTAATTCAAGGTAAGCCCTGAACAGCAGTCCGTGCAGAACTGTCTCTAGCACATCAAAATATTACTTTGATGGGGAATGTTTAAGCCAAACAAGTAGCTTTGTTGGAAGAGAATTTAATCAACGTAAAAAAAAATTAAGCCAATTCCCTCTTTTTTTCCTGAGCTAATCACCTTATTTTTCTGTTTAATATACATATAAAATTTTGCATTTCTAGCAGGAACCATCCTCTTTTTTTTTTTTTTTTTTTTTTTTGAGAAGGAGTCTCACTCTGTCACCAGGCTGGAGTGCAGTGGCGCAACCTCATCTCACTGCAACCTCCGCCTCCCCAGCTCAAGAGATTCTCCTGCCTCAGCCTCCTAAGTAGCTGGGATTACAAGCACACACCACCACACCCAGCTGATTTTTGTATTTTTAGTAGAGACAGGGTTTCACCATATTGGCCAGGATGGTCTTGATCTCCTGAACTCGTGATCCACCTGCCTTGGCCTCCCAAAGTGCTGGGATTACAGGCGTGAGCCAACGTACCTGGCCAGAACCATCCTCTTATACTCTCTGTCTAATTTCTAAATTCATTTTCTTCAACTAGAATTTACTCCAATAACCGGAATTTGTATTTAGGGCATAAATTGCGTATCCAGTAAACCCACTGGCTCTGCTCAGTATACTTCCCAGCCTCCGAGTGCTGTCCCCAATACGGGAAGTCAAAGAGTTCAAACTCCACTGGCTCCAATGATGACCTAAACGTAAGCTATCAACTAAAACATAAACTCCAGTATTTCAAAGCTCAAGATTTCTCCCTTGGAAACAAGAAGAACACATATTCCCCAGTAGGGAAAAGGAAAGAACTTCGGTAGAAATGAGCTGGCATTCTTCACACCACTTTGTCTCTCAGGAGGGAAGGACGGTTCCAAACCTGAATTCTGCTAAAGCCAGGGCCCTCTCCAGTATAAGGCACAGCCCGTACCTCAACAGAAGCACAGCACGAGGCTCAGAGCAAGCCTGAAGACCTTGGTGGGATTGGTTACTGGCAATTGGTTACTGTGCAACAGGCAAATGAGGCCCCACTTTCAACAAAAAGAAACCCAGTGTGGTTACGCTGGGCTCAGCCTACTTGGCCGTCTTTACCAATTGCCTAAACAGGACCTTATACGACCAATTAGCCATGGACCTAAAGCCAATCAAAAAATGGGAACGTCAATCTGTGTTGAGAAAGATTTCTCAATATATCGTCCATGGTAAGATTCCGTGCAGAAGATACTCACCGGTCCACAAAATAGCCCATGACGGGGCTCTCGGTGGTGGTGTTGGGCGGCTTCCAGGTCACGATGACGTAGTCTCGGTTGGCATCGTGGCACTGCAAGTCCATGGGTGCGCCGGGGGCCCCTGTGACCAGCGGGTCAGCATCTTGGGGCGGGGAGAGAAAAGGCACACAGCTGTCATTTAAAGGCTGGGGTCACTGTAAAGCCTGTTTACAGCTCCTCCAAGCTCCAATTCTATCCCCTTGATTTGATCCACTGTTTAATCCTCAAGTTCCAAGTACTAGAATATTTCTTACTCTGGTGGAAATTGGCGACAAGAAATATAAAATTATTTATGAATTTAAAAGTTTCAAAACATAGAATCCTCGATAAAACACTTAAGTCTACAAATTTTTGTCGTTAGATCCCGAATTCAGTTCATCTTCTCTTGGTGCTGCTATGTTGCATAACGGCACGTGGCCAGAAAGGTGTGGATGAAACAGTGACAACAATTCAGCATTTCTAACACCTGAGAAATATCACCTGAGATACTATTCTATTTCAAAATCCTTAGGAAATTGGGTGATTTACTCTTTGGGCCAATTTTGAGCCAATGTTTGGGACAATATTGTATCATTCATTTCTCAGTCTATTGATGACCATGTTGCAATTAGGTTTAATTACAGCTGCATGAAAACCAACAGAGCAACTTAGAAAGTTAATACACAGAATGTTAACCCTCTTATCTGAACTATGTATTTATTCAGTAGCCATGGCTGTCCTGTGACGCATCCTTAGCAGTGTAAGCACTATCCAGTTTCCTGCTCGCATATCCTCAGGGTATTAAAAGCTGAGAATTTCCTGACATTGAGCCAAGTAGTTTCCTCTCACATTCAAAAGCCTCAGAAAGCGATTGAAAATGGTTAAACTCCCCACCCTCGCCTTAATTTCTTCCCATTGTTGTTGCTGAGTGAGCAAGGCGATTTGAACCATGTTGCCTGTATTGCCTTTTTATGGGGTGGAGCATCATAGCAGCAGGCACATGCAGAGGATGGAAGGGACATTTAACGCCCACCTAATAATAGCAGTGAAACGTGGTGGAAGTGTCTAACCTCACAGACTTGCAAGCTTAGGCTATCGTGTGGGAAGTGAGGAGGGTGAGATACGTTTGGTCGATATTTCTTCTATTTCTTTTCAGATGAAATATTCTTTAATGATACAGTCCTTTCTTTAAGCTCTGATCTAATGGATGCAATGGAAAAAATAATCATGACGATGTACAGATGCATCCTGCACCCCGCTGGAGCTGGAGGCAGGTGGGAAGGTGAGAACCTGGGCAGCAGGTAAGGACACCCGGCTGATCAGGATGGAGCCAGGAGCCCGGGGACCCGGAGAGGAGCAGCAGCCACATGGCGCAGGAAAGCTCCAATGCCTTCCTTGTAGGTCGGCTGTGCCTCAGCAAGGAGGCTGCCCTAAACCCAGAGGCTGCCGAGATGCTGCCCAGGGCAGAAGCGGGAGGGGAGTGGAATAGACACTGATAAAAACGTAGGTGAGGCCAGGCATGGTGGTTCATGCCTGTCATCCCAATGCTTGGAAGGCCAAGGCGGGGCTGATCACTTATGGTCAAGAGTTCGAGACCAGCCTGACCAACATGGTGAAATCCCGTCTCTACTAAAAATACAAAAATTATCCTGGCATGGTGGTACACGCCTGTAGTCCCAGCTGCTCAGGAGGCTGAAGCTGGAGAATCGCTTGAACCCAGGAGGCGGAGGTTTCAGTGAGTTCAGATAGCACCACTGCACTCCAGCCTGGGCAACAAGGACTCCGTCTCAAAAAATAAATGAATAAATAAATAATAAAAATACAAAAAATAATCAGGGCACGGTGGCGGGCACCTGTAGTCCCAGCTGCTCGGGAGGCTGAGGCAGGAGAATTGCTTGAACCCAGGAGGCGGAGTTTGCAGTGAGCTGAGATCGCACCACTGCACTCCAGCCCGGGCGACAGAGTGAGAATCCGTCTCAAAAGCAAAATGAAACAAAAAAAAAGGGTTGGGGGGTAGGTGGCCCCTCCTTCTCAGTCACATGATGCCAAAAACACTACAACTGTATAGCAGGAGCTCAGGCTCCAACAAAATTTAAATCCCAGCTTCTCCAGCCTAGAGACATTTCTCCTGCCTCTGAGCCTCAACGGATTCATCTGGAAAACGGAGAACAGTATTTCCTTTTGCTGTTATTGTAAGAATTCTAGCTTATGTATACACGGATGTTTACGTAAGTATAGACACATACATGCACACCTATAGGATGTATGCAATAGGCATTTTATAAATATATACATGTATATCACAAATTTTGTCTTTCTTTTCATAAAATGGAATGAGTGAAGCCTCCATAGTGAGTCTGTCGTGAAGACTAAATCCGTGTAGGACCCCAGCACACTGCCTGACAGAAAGCCTCCGTGTAGGACCCCAGCACACTGCCTGACAGAAAGCCTCCGGTGGTGATGGCTGTTGTGGCCACAAACGTTTTTTTTTTTTTTTTTTTTTTTAGACGGAGTCTCGCTCTGTGGCCCAGGCTGGAGTGCAGTGGCCGGATCTCAGCTCACTGCAAGTTCCGCCTCCCGGGTTCCCGCCATTCTCCTGCCTCAGCCTCCTGAGTAGCTGGGACTACAGGCGCTGCCACCACGCCCGGCTCATTTTTTTGTATTTTTAGTAGAGACAGGATTTCACCATGTTAGCCAGGATGGTCTCGATCTCCTGACCTCGTGATCCGCCCGTCTCGGCCTCCCAAAGTGCTGGAATTACAGGCGTGAGCCACAGCGCCCGGCCACAAACGTCTTAAGCACAAGTTTCATTAAAGTGGTTGGTGGAGGTCACAGCACTGGCTGTCATCCTCACGTCTGTTTCTCTTAAGCCAAAGTCCAGAGGGAGTGAGTCGCTGGCAGGAGAGGAAGGAAGCTCTTCCCTGGGACTCCAACACTGTGCCCCTCTTTGTCCTCGGGCTACCTTCCCTGAGAATCAGTAAATCTGGTGCACTCACTCTTGGGAGCCATTTGTCAAATGCTCATGAGTATATGAACGAATGACGATTCTGGTCTATTCCGGATTGTGTCCTGATTCCTCTGTCTGCTCAACGGCAGGAAGCGCCTGGTGTGCCCGTGCACCGAGGGAAAATCGGTGCCGCACGGAGGTCTCCAAGGATCAAAGTGGTCTCACACCCTCCTGACTCCTTTTCCCAGTGCCTCACTCCTCCCAGGGCCACCTCCCCACCCCGGGAACACACAAGGTCTGCACCCTGACAACCCTGCCACACCTCTGACAAACAGGAAGGCGCTGTGGTCACTGACGCCGCCCCGAGACACGATGCGCAGGGTGTACAGGCCCTCGTCGTCCTTGTGCAGGTGGCTGAAGGACAGGGAGGCCTGGCCTTCTCCAAAGAACATCTTCGTCCACTTAGACTCTTTCACCAGCACGTCTGAAAGAAAGAGCGTTTACATGGAAGGTTTGCATCCGAAATCACCCCAGCAGGAAAAAGAAAGCCTGAGGACACCAGCATCGTCTCAGCAGGACAGGACAGTGGAGCTGCACGCCACAGAAGGCAGAGCCTCAACCTGGTAAAATCCCAACAGCTGTACTTCGTGGAAGCACATACATGAATGGAGCAGCCACAGCCCAGAGCACGGGCTGCCACCCCACAGCCCAGAGCACAGGCTGCCACCCGACAGCCCAGAGCACAGGCTGCCACTTGAGTGGGTAAAGGTGGGACGTGCTGCGAGTGGCCGCCAGCTTTGTCCTCAGGTAAGCTGAGTTCACCTGGGGGCTCCCTGCTTCTCTGCTGAGTGGCCACTGCCCCAACCAGCTTCCTCATGCCCGTATGGAATCACAGGGGCGTGCGTCTGAAGGGGCTACTGTCACATCTCCAAAGAACCCAGCATAGACCCTCCGCATCACCAAACTCTAAAAACAAAATGACTGGACTGGAAGGAAGAAAAGAATCGCAATAGGACTAAGGTAGCATTTCTGTCTAGAGAGAGTACACAAGCTGCTAACCAGCCCCTTCCATGCAGTAATGTGCATTAAACTCAATCTCAATAGCACAAGATCATTCTGTCTGTCGTCGTACGAGCCATCAGTCTCTAAGTGGCTGCTCTAGATTTGGGGTTTCTCTCCAGGATTCTCCTGGATGAAGTTCAAAGTCAATGGTGGGCCGCCAAGTTCTCTACAGTCCCTCAGTTTGTTCGGCTGTCTGGAGCTGACCCAGTGGTAGAGACAAAAGCCACATTGACACCCACATCTAAAGGACATTTCGACCCAAATCCTCCTGGCGTGTGCCCAGATCTGGGCTGTGTCCTACTCACCATCACGGTACCACTCGGCTCGCGGCTGCACCCGCTTCAGGTCCGGCGTCACCAGCATGGTGCACTTGAGAGTGACCGTCTCGCCTTCCCTCCTGAAGGTGACCCCAAACTTCTCCAAAAACTGGACGTCGAAGTGCGTGTACGGAATCACTGATGACAGGGGCACTGCACAGAAACGATGGAGGCTTTCAGGGCCGAAGGGCAGAGAGCATCTTTGAAAGCAGACACGCTCAGGCCGTCACCACAAACACATGTCTTTGTCACCGCCCCACGGCATGGAACACCCCAGCCAGGTCTGTGCTCCAGATGGAATATCTGTGTCCCAAATTCTAGGGTTGAATCCCTGACCTTCAGTGGGACGGTGTGAGGAAGTGAGGCCTTTGGAAGGCAATGAGGGTGGGATGAGATGATGAGAGCTGGGCCCCAGGGCGGGGATGAGCGCCCTTGGAAGAGGAGGAAGAGGCCAGACCTTCCTCCCGTCCACGTGAGGACACCGTGAGCAGGTGCCATCAGCAACTCAGAAGGAGGGTTCTCACCAGAAGCTACGCCTGCTGAGTGTCAGGCTTCTGCCTCCAGAACAGAGAGGATAAGTGCTTATTGTTCATAAACTGCCCCGGCCATGGCGTGTTGTTCCAGCGCCGGAGCTGAGACAAGCCACTGCTGAAGAATTAAATGTCACAAAGTCGACCTTGTGGTGTTGTTAGAGGCAGGGCTGAGAACCTGATCGTGTATGAAGACTAAAGGTTTAAGTCCAACCTCAGCCCCAGACTGTGGCTTCTGGCAAGTCACATGGACTTGGAGGCCACGGCTGCCTCCTCTTCAAAACAAACGGTGGTGTTTGCATCCATAGAGTTTAGAGTTCACCCAAATGAAGCAACTAGATCCAGAAGTGTCAGCCTGGTTAAATTTCAAAAATATGTGTGGTAGGGGGAGTACATACGTGTCAGGAAAAAATCTATACTGAATTTTTAAAACCAAAAAAACCTGTATGATTTACAGATATATGCACGTAGGGAAGTTTAAACAATAACTGCAGGGCGGGTACGGTGGCTCATGCCTATAATCCCAGCAATTTGGGAGGCCAAGGCAGGAGGATCACTTGAGCCCAGTAGTTTAAGACCAACATGGGCAACATGGTGAAACTGCATCTCTACAAAATACAAAAAAAAAACAAATGAGCCAGGTTTGGTGACACACGCCTGTAGTCCCAGCTACTTGGGAGGTTGATTCCTTGAGCCAGGGAGATCAAGGCTGCAGTGAGCCAAGATTGCACCACTGCACTCCAGCCTGGGTGACAGAGTGAGACCCTGTCTCAAAACTAAATAAATAAATAAAAATAAAAAATTTTAAAAGCCACTGCAAATGCCAGGATGTGTGGGAGACGGACAGGAGCAGCATTGGGTGCTTTCATCATCTGTGATTGTTTCAGCTCTTGGAAAACAATTGAAGCTATCCTGAATGGTACACTGTACAATGGCTAATGTTGTGTTATGCAAATTGGACTTTGATGAAAAACAAGTGAAGCAAAAATAGCAAGATATTTCCCCCGTCAAACACGGGTGGTGAACACACGAGCATTCTTACATGGTGATCTATGCTGTAACTGCACCACGGTTCTTGTTTAGGAAGATAAAATGTTCATAGGTAGGAGAAACCCCGGGATGGGACCAGGTGACCGCCAGGACCTGCCCAGCTCATCAGTGCCTGGGACACCTCTCCACATAGACTCCGTGCTGTCCTGAGGGCCAGAACTGCACACAGACGCCCAGATCTCCCGGCCTCCCCAGGCTCACCTTGGCCTGGTCCCTGCCTGCCCTTTGGTGGTCTTGGAGGCTCACCGAGTGTTGAATGTAGCCCAGCAATAAAAGTCACACAGAAATAGCAAGCGGAGGCCACGCCCACAGTGTCTAGCAGCTGCCAGGAGGCTCCACCCTCCATCGTCACTTTGGTCAACTCTCCACTCCCAGCACGCGGCCCGGAGCATCTAAGCCTTTCATTACAGTAAAATCAGTGCTTCCATCGGAATGTACGGTTCCTTCCTGGGAAGTTCAGGCCAATTCTAAAACTCACTCCCAAGCCATAAACAAGCTGCATTGAAAGTGTATCCATCATGTCCCAATTCTCAGATGCCCTCATGGGGACCTCCTCACCTCACCAGCATGGGTCACCCAGCACCACGGGACTGCGAGGGTGAAGCCAGCCCAGGGCCAGAGACAGCTTCACCTCATTACAGGGCCACGGCAGGTCCCAGGCCTGGGGCGGGTTTCTGGGCCAAAGCCTGCTGCACTGCCCTCATTTTGACCTGAAGTTTTTTGTTACAAGGACCAAGAGACTTTTGGAGGAAAAAAAACAAAAAACACCACCTCTCCTTAAACACAAAACAGCAACGGGATGCATTCAGGTCAAGAATTTGAATGTGTCTCTTTTTTTCCAATTCAAAAATGTAGTCTCTCCAAGCGATGTTTTCACCAGTCTAAAAATACCACCTAGCCATGGAATGACGTGGGAACAAATTGTCAGCACGCTAACACTGGTCAGGAGAAACTTGGAGGAGTTTTCTGAAATATGATTTTTGTAAAAAAGAGTTGGCCCTTAGGTGTGAACCCGGGAGGCGGGGCTTGCCGTGAGCCGAGATGGCACCACTGCACTCCAGCCTGGGTGACAGAGCGAGACTCCGTCCCAGAAAAAAAAAAAAAAAAAGTTTGGCCCTTAGGAAACCATGTTTTCAAATTGTCTGCTATGTCACTAAACATTTCACCACACAGAAAGGAAACGAAAACCCACTTACATCCTATCGGGAGTCCCACCGAACGGAACGGTTCCTCGTCTCCCCGGAACCCTGCAAGACAGTGAAGTGAGCGCAGCAAGAAAGAGAAAAGCAGGAGGAAGGCGCTCCGTGAAAACCCACCCGACACTCACTTCTCACCACCACTGCCGCGTTGGTGGACACCTGTCCGTGGGCGTTGGTGGCCACTGCTGAGTACGTCGCGGTGTCGTCAAAGTCTACCCTTGGAGAGAAAAAGCGAGAGAAAGTCTGCGGGACCATCCTGTAAAAGTCAGTGACCCGGATTGCACAAAAGCATTCCTCGAAAGCAAATCACATGGCGTGGGTTATTTGTTCATCAGTGATTTGTACAAGAACAATGCCAGCTCTGTCCTTGGAAAGGTGAGGCAGCAACTCGGTATTAATTATAGACACAGATGAAGGCCTGATCCCAGACGACGGTGCAGTTTTGGCCTTCAGAATAAAATGGTACTGGCACTCCTGAAAAATCCTTTGTTCATTCTCAAGGAGAAGTCTCTATTCCATTCTGGTCCATTTTTACTACCTCTACAGAATGTGAGGCTTCATCTTGTCAGTGGACAGCCTCCCACGACCTCAAGCTCCAGCAGAACCACTCGCGATGGGGTGATACAGAGCCTGTGGGGGAAAGCCTTGGACCCGCTCCGTGTAGGAGCGAGGATGCTGCCAGAGAAGAAGGCAGAGCGCTGCTTCAGGGAGGCCCTGAACCATGGCGGCGGGTCCACTCCATGAGGGAGCTGTTCCCACGCAGGGAGTTGTTCCCAGGTGGGCAATCCATCCCATGGCAGTTCTAAGGTAGTCCAGGAGCTTGAGCTTTGCTCCACTCTCCCAGGCGATCCTGGTGCACAGGGGCATTGAGGGGCTGCCCTCGGAATGCTCTCCGCCTGGTGCACACGGGCATTGAGAAGCTGCACCTGGGATGCTGTGCGTCTCTGCCTGGTGCACACGGGCACTGAGGGGCTGCCCTCGGAATGCTCTCCGCCTGGTGCAAACGGGCACTGAAGAACTGCGCCCGGGGTGCTCCCCACCTGTGCATGCAGGCATTGAGAAGCTGCACCTGGGATGCTCCCCACCCTTTAATACCCCTGGGATGAGAATCCCGGAATCAAGCCGCTGAGAATCCATCAAAGCCCTCAACACAGCTTGTGCCTGGCACACACAAAGGGTTCCAAGGTGCAAACAGAGACCGATTAACTCCTAAGTGACAAGCTCCCTGTTCCAAAAGCCGATTCTACAGCCCGACCCGGCTCCCCAGCAGGATCCCACGCTAATAAGAGGCTACTTCCAGAATCCCAAAGTAATATGATCCCCAGATAGGAATCACCCACTCAAGGGTGTATTGAAATGTCTGAGTTGGACTCTACTTGAGACACTGATGTATGTTTACCCCTGGGGAAAAAACAAACAAACAAAAAAGCATGACTTAGGAATAGCCAGAGACCCCAGGCTCACAAACCCCAAGTCCCTGTGGGGGTGGGTCTTCCGCTTCCCCTTATCCATGGCACTAAAGCTAAAACTTCTTCTCTTGGCTGTGAACTGTCTTCCCACCAGCTTCCCCAGGAAATGGAGACAAGAGGGGGTAAGGAAGAGGCGCTGAGATCAGCTGAGCTTTTACTCAACACTAAGCCCTCTTCAGGTCACGTTATGTCAGCATTTCCATGTTCATCCTCAAGTAGCCTTGAAATAGACGTCATTATCCCGCTAGGATGGTGAGCAAGCAACATGGCAGCTAAGAAGCTAGGTTAACAAGGTCCACGTGACTCCAAAATTGCATTCTTTCTGGCAGCTCCTTTCCAAGCCATGGACACCTGAGCAGAATCTTAATCTGGGAAAAGAAACAACACAAAAAGTCCCCACTTTTGAGAAAAGCAAGAGTTACTCAAGTCTGACTTTTCAAATGCATCAAGAAGCCAGTGCCTCCAGAGACAAAATCCATTCCTGTGAAGTCATCAGTAATTTTATTTTCTTCTCTGTTCCACTAGGAGCTGAACATATTTTCTTAGACCAAAAATTTCCATTTCTCCAACAAAAGGGAAATAGCGTGTCTGAGACCTGTGCTATTACCAAGAATTCTTTCCCCTCCTACTGGAGTTCAAATCCAGCCTCAATATGTCAGAGAAAGCCATCTGGTCTCCCTGGCTGCCACTGCTCAAGGGACAAATGATACCCCAGAGCCCGGTCCGGGTAGATCTTCAAACCAAGAGCATTACCTTCTAGTTCACCTTGGAGGAATACAAGCCGAACTACAAAATCATCAGCAAAGCTACAATTCCAGCCTGAACTCATTAGAAGCTACACTGCTATGCAATTTCCAGATTCACCGCAAGTACAGCCATGTCTCCGGGGCAAAGTAACAGTGTGTGTAAAACACATAAAAATCCCATAAGTAGAGGCTTTCTCCAATGCTAAGTGTTAACAACCTGTGCTGATCTACCCATATAATTCACACATAACACTCGTATACACATTCCCACAGGGAGCGTAACCTGCCGCTACCTCTCGGAACATGCCTGGGACTGGGTTCCGGGGTGGAAGGAGGAGCTGCTTCTCTGCGGAACCCATGGGCATTTCTCCATTTTGTTTGTTTGTTTGTTTTGTGTTTGTGTTACTTCTTCTAAATAATAAAACCATTATGTTTTCATAAATGCATTCTCCAAACCCAAAGATATTCTTTTGGGATTCGCCCTAACCCTTCCTCTCCAACAATCCCGCCCCCACTAGCAATAACACAACAGATGAGAGAAACAAGGGCGACAGCCTCCCACAGGCACTGCTGGAAGGATTCGAATGCCAGCGTATATGGAAGTGAGCAAGGCGGTCTGTAAAAATCTGCTTGATCAGAATCTGCTGACCTGGAGCCTGTCCTGCGAATGCACAATCCAGGTGGACTCAGACTCGCAAGGAGGGAGCCATTAAACTAGAGAAGCAGAGCAGGTGCACAGGCAGTTCCCATGCAGGAACCGCCGGACGTGACCCTGCTGGACCAGGGCAGGACTCATGGGACGTGACCTGGCTGGACAAGGGCACGGGCTGTCCCCCAAGCCCAGCAGGTCACCGTCATGACCAGTTCCTGAGTGAGGAGGGGTGAATGTCTTGACCCACCCTTGTCCTCGAGGAGCGGGAGTGTGGGCTGCATGGACGGGGTTCCAGTCAGTCCCCTCAAAAACCCTGCTGCTGCCTGTTACGTAACATCGACGGCATTCACGCTGCGCCCCACGGCTCTCAACTCAAAACTCCCCCGTGTGCTGCACGTTCCTTCTTCCGTGCGTTTTAGCCGTTTTTAAACTGTGGTGTCAGTGTAGACTCAGCACATCACACACCAGTCAGGCATCGAAGCCCAACTCGAACCTCACGCAGTCACTTAACTCACAGGTACCGGGGCCTCGGGCAGAGCTTCTCCTACCACTTCTGTGTAATCGGATAATATTCTCAGATGTCAAGGTAAAAATGTTTTCACTTGCAACTACTTGTCTGGGATTCAGGATTTTTTTCAATATGAGGCAATAAGAAGAAGAGAGAATAAGAA